CTATATAAAAAAAAAATCTATTATCTTGTTTACAAAATTCAGTATTTTGCCAATTTGAAAAACTAAATGGATGCCATTTTACTTGATACTCTTACAAGACAGCAGGGAAAGGAGCTCTGTAGGTGCTTCTTATTTAACAACCTGCTGATGACAAAGGAAAACTGGTTAACTCTCACCCAAATGGGACCTACTTATGTTTCCTGCTTTTCACAGTTGGGTATCGTAATGTCTTTTATATGCTTCCCATATCTGCTCTTCTATTGCTATGAATGTTATTCTTGGCCCTTTAACCTAATTCCCATGTGTTCCGGTTTTCAGGTGAATAAGGAATGTGTCCGAGGTCTCTGGGCAGGGCAACAGCAGGAGCTTGTTTTTCTACGTAACCGTAACCCAGAGAGAGGTAGCATCCAAAATGCAAAGCAAGCCCTGAGAAACATGATAAACTCATCTTGTGACCAACCTATTGGCTACCCAATCTTTGTCTCACCCCTGACAACTTCTTATTCTGACAGCCATGAACAGCTTAAAGATATTCTTGGGGGACCTATCAGCTTGGGAAATATCAGAAACTTCATAGTGTCAACCTGGCACAGGTGAGCCATGGGGTTGCAGTTTTCAGTAATGGTGTATCATGACCCTTTTATCTAGACAACGTACATTAGCATCACCTGGGGAACTTGTAGAAAAAATACAGATGCCATGGCACAATATAAACCTATTATATCTGAACTTCAGGAAGTATTAGGTCATTAAATATGAAATGTCCAATTTTGAATCAAAAGTTTAATTTATGATATCTCAAACAAGAAGCAGTACGGTTAATCAAAGTATGCACCTAAACTGTCAACACAGTTTTGCCATCTTAACAGTAGCTTGTTTATGCCAGTAGCAGAGAAGCCTGGAGAGTAGTAGCAATGAAATCGTGAAAGGCACTTTCCACAGCTTGTTGAGAATTTAATATTTTTCCTTGCAAGAAGTGGTCTAAAGCCTGGAAGAAGTGGTAGTCAGTTGGTACAAAGTCTAGTGAACAACAGTGGATGACAGGGATTCCAAGTCCAGCCTCTATAATTTGAGCAGCGTTGTTTGTGTGACATGTGGTCGAGCATTGTCTTGCAAGAGGATTGGCCTGTCTCTATTGACTAATCTCTGCTGCTTAATTGCAAGCATCCTCCTCTTTTCATCCAGATGGTTGCAGTAGACACTGCTGTAATTGGTTGACCAGGTTTCATGAAGCTGTAATGGATAATACCAGCGCTGGACCACCAAACAGACACCATTAGCTTTTTTTGATGAATATTCGGTTTTGGACTGTGTTTTGGCACTTCATCTTTATCCAACCATTGTACTTGGGATTGTCATTGTGTTCATTAGCCATATCCTTCCTAAACACTTTGTTGATGTTTAGAGCTGTCTGCGCTGCATTGGTTCCACAACGGAAGTCATATTAAAAAATAACTTGAATTTTTGACTTATCCATGGTTTCATAAAAATTGCTCTAAAAAAAATTTTAAAGATAATCTCAAGCCAACACATGCATTTGAAAGAATGATGATGAACCTTCACAGTAAAAAGAAAACAAGAAGTGTCAAAGTGAAATGTCAAAGATATCAGCTGTCAAACTTAGTATTAATACTTAAGGAAATCGGACATTTCATGCTTAATAACCTAATAGAATCTGAGCATTTTTATCTTCAAAATCTTATTAGATAAATCTAATGTACAACCCAGGTTAAGAACCACTGCTCTGGTATTTGGTAGAATCTTGAATAATCCCGTTTTCTTTGTTTAATTTTTTGACTTTATTGCATAGTGCCACTATTAGAATGTATGGGCCAACAAACAGGGCAGATTAAGGGAAAAACATAAGAAACATGCAGGTTGATTCCTTTCTTCTATTTTAGCATCTGTTCCAGCACTAGGGGAGCGCTCTGCACGTGTTGGAACTTGTGGTTGTGCAATCTAGAGATACTGCTGCCTTTTTAACAATCCGACATCACCCAAATCTCAAATCCGCAATGTTTTCAAGTATTCCCATGAATTTTTTCTCTGTTGTTTGTCTAGTGAATTATGATGTCTTGTGTAGGAACATTATAGTTTCATGGCAAAGAATAATTTTAGAGCATTGTTTTTAATTTCGTAAGAATTACTCAGATTCTTAAATATCAGAGCTTAAGAAAAACAGACTCTGGTGATTAGAGAAGCAGACTCTCAAATGGTCTCGCTATCAAGGCCTAACCAAACATAAGAAAGAAAAGAAGCCAGGGAAGACATTTTTTTTTTTTCCAGAAAATATCTGTTGTGCTGGAATTACCTTAAAATTCTTTCCTCCTAAGAGAAATAGCCAGCTGTCTTAGTCAATGGTTTGCTTAGTCATCCTACATTAAAAAAAATAAAAAGGAAAAATGATTGCAGCAGCTCTCTTCAAGTGTGCTGTACTAACAGTATAAATAAATTAGATTTTGAGGGGTTGTATACTTCAGAGTCACTGAACAGACACTGCAAGAATTCTGTTTCTAGCTTTGATCTTAATGGTACGACTGTGTTATATACAGTTCTTTATTATGGTGTAGGAAAGATGATAGCGTATATAAAAGTGAAGTAGATTGGAAAGATTTGAAGCAGTGAGTGTACGAATGGTATAGTTTTAAGCCATGCGAACACAACAGACTTTTGTTCCTAATATTGATTGCACCATAAAGATTTTCAGGCCGGGTGCGGTGGCTCACGCCTGTAATCCTAGCACTCTGGGAGGCCGAAGCAGGTGGATCGCTCAAGGTCAGAAGTTCGAGACCAGCGAGAGCGAGACCCCGTCTCTACTAAAAAAAAAAATAGAAAGAAATGATCTGGACAACTAGAAATATATAGAAAAAATTAACCAGGCATGGTGGCGCATGCCTGTAGTCCCAGCTACTCGGGAGGCTGAGGCAGTAGGATTGCTTGAGCCCAGGAGTTTGAGGTTGCTGTGAGCTAGGCTAACGCCATGGCACTCTAGCTGGGGCAACACAGTGAGACTCTGTCTCAAAAAAAAAAAAAAAAGATTTTCAAAGGTGAACATTAGTAACTAACAGTTCAGAATAGCTGGAAAAAGAAAAAGATACTCATGTTGAAGTGATAGTGGGATAACACTTCCTACTCTGGTATTTATTTGTTCCTAGGCTAAGGAAAGGTTGTGGAGCCGGATGTAACAGTGGTGGCAACATTGAGGATTCTGATGCTGGAGGTGGAACTTCCTGCACTGGTAACAATGCTACCACTGCCAATGATCCCCACAGCAACGTGTCCCAGGGCAGCACTGGGAATCCCGGGCAAGGATCAGGAGCAGGACTCCATCCACCTGTCACATCTTACCCCCCAGCGCTAGGTAATGTGAAGCAAAGTTACGTGCGTGACATTAGCCTCTTAGCCATGGGGGCCAGTTAGTATGTTATATGAGGAGGATTACATGTGATCTACTTGGAAATAGAGAAATAGAATATTATGTTTGATTCCCAGATGTACATTATCCCATTTGTTTATATTAATCATTTTTATATATTTAAATATATGTATCACATACATAATCCTTTTAACTTTACATTTGACATGAATGGTCAAGGCATTAAGGATTCCTTGAAAATAATATTTTTAAAGGCTAATATTTCATTATTACAATTTATTTAACTTCTGTTGGACAATGACTTGATTTCTTCTGACATAATGTTGTAATAATCTTTGTATGTAAATCTTGGTAATCACTTATTATTTTCTTAGACTGGAGACCTTTAAAAATGGTATCATTGGGCCAAAACTTATGAGAATAAAGCTTTTAATATATAATACCAAAAATCTTTCCATAAAGTTTTTTTTTCTTTTTACCAGTTGGTACTTTCACCAGTCATATATAGGAATGCCCATTTTATAAACCTTCACTAGCCTTGAGTATTGTCAGTTCCCACTTCTGTCCCCTGTTTGCTCAGGGAGGGTAAGAGAAGTGGTGGCCTTTAATTTTGTTTCAATTTGCATTGCTCTGTTACCTGAGATTGGAAGTTTTTAATGAGTTTATCAGCTGCTCCTCTTTCTGAAGTGCCTATTAAAGTATCTTGCTTATTTTTCTATTTGGTTATCTTTTTCTTAATTGATTTATATTTTATATCTGGAATTTGAGTTCTTTGTTATTTTTCTGTACTAAAAATATCTTTTCCCATTCTGTCCCTTGGCTTTCATTCCTTTACTATGAAAAATGCTTATTTTCTTTCAATGAGAAGTTTTTAATTTTAGTGTAGAACAATTTACTAATCTTTTCCTTTATGATTAGTACTTTTTGTATCCTATTTAAGAAAATGTTCCCTATCCCAGGGCCCTCTAAATGTGCTTTTACAAATTTACCTTTGACGTGAGATCTACACGCCACCTGGTGTGCAGTAGGAATCGGGTTCCATCTGCTTCCGTAGGCTGGTCAGTTGATCCATCCAGTGTTTCTCTCCCACACTGCTTCACGTGGATCAGATGAAGTTTTAAGACACTTTCTTAAATTAAGGAAGAAAAACTCCAATGGAATTGGAATGAAGAGTCTAAATAGATGTGTGATCAACATATGATTTTTTTTTTTTACTTTGAAGTGAAAATCTAAAACTTTCAATGGACCTTTTCAAATGTACTTTTTGCTCTTACATTTATTAGTTCCTTTTATTTTCAGATAAAAAGTACATGTAGCTGTGTTTTTAATATAATTATCATCTTTATCATTACTCTTATGAGTCGGGAAAAAGACAAGTCTGAAGAATTGTATCAAGCCACTTGAAAAAGGGTGCTGAAGAACCTGCTATGCAGCATCAATGATAATTTGTATTTAGTAGTAATCCCTTAATGTGTATGAAAATCACAGTATGGTGTCCACTGTCTCTCTATAGGCAGTGTATGTAGCCTGTCATTGCAGTAGATTGAAAGGACAATAATATTAATGTTATACCTTGAGAAATAGTGGTTACAGAGCATGCCACATAGTAGGTCAATAAATATTTCTCTTTTTTTCATTGACAAATAAAAATTGTAGATATTTATATTACGCAACATCATGTTTTGATATATGAATACATTGTGAAATGATTAAATCTAGCTAGTTAACATATCCATCACTTCATATACTTATTTTTTATGGTAAGAGTGTTTTAGATCTACTCAGCAATTCTCAAGCATGCAACACTGTATTACTAACTGTAGTCACCATGCTGTACAATAGATCTCCAATTCCTGCTAACTGAAACTTTGTACCCTTTTGCCAACATGTCCCCACGCTTCTCCCCTCCCCGGCCCCTGGCAACCACCATTCTACTTTCTGCTTCTATGATTCCAACTTTTTTAGATTCCACATGAGTGAGATCATGTAGTATTTTTTTTAAATATTAATAAACATCTCACTGGTATGCAATTTGCAGTATTTCTTAATAAATATTTCTGATTGTCTC